GGAGCTCTGGTAGCATAGTTCCTAAGCCACTTGACTGCTAACCAGAAGGCTGCAAACCCACAAGCCACTCCTCAGAAGGAAGATGGGCAATCTACTTCCATAGTGATACTGCCTCAGAAACCCAAGGAGTGGTTGCTGTGAGTTGGGTCCAACTCGATGGCACATAACATAACATAGCATATATATATATATTTACCACAATAAAAAATGTACCAGAAACCAAATGAAACTCACTACCGTCGAGTTGATTCTGACCAAACCCAGTGCCATTGAGTTGATCTGATTCATAGTGACCCTATGGGAACAGAGGGGGGAGAATCACTTAACCTGTTGCAACATAATCTTCACGCTCAATAACAGAAAATTAAACCTCCACATGAAAGCAGGCAATGATTTCATTTTTCACACACACAAAAAAGACTTATTCATGATTCTGTCTTATAGGGTCATATGACTGCAGCTTTCTAGAATGTGATAGAATAAAAGGGAACCCTGTTCTTGGGTCAGCGACCTGTGTTTGAGTTCTGATTCTGTTACCAGGAAAGTCAGTGAACCTCTTTGAGCCTTGGTTTGCTTACCTGAAAAATGGGGAAGAAAATAATACCTGTTCTTTGTTTTTTTGCCAACATTGGTGAAAGTTGAAATAATACATGCAGAACTATTTATCAATGGAAGGTATTAATATATTTGAAATGATGTGCATACTGTGCTGGTAATTTTCAAAGATAATTTTGAAAATGTAGTTGCATCTGGTATTTATAATTTTGTGTTAATGCAGAGAGATAGACAAATTTTTTTTTAAATATTTTCAACATTGATTGCAACAAAAATTAGTTTCTAGTTAGACCTACTTCCTAATTGGTTAGGCCTAATTAACAGATAAATCCATTTTATTGGCGCTTTCTTTTCCTAATATAATATTTTATGATATTAATACTCAAAATAATCCACCAGTGGGCACTGTGTACTAATTTCTCAGTGCATATTAGCCTCAGGTTATAAACATTTTCTGCCAGGATTTTTGTTGAAGCTAAATATCTTCTTACTGTATGTGTTTAGTAAGTGCACACACCTGGGAGGGTGAGATGAGTGACACATCTTGGGGTTTCATGAGCCTTCTCTTCCATGGAAGCTATCTGCAGGAGCAGGGGGAGGGTAAGGGGTTGAGGGAGACAAAAAGGGAAACGTTGAAGCACAACATTGTTGTGGAAGACGTTCACTTTACTTCTGGTAAACATTCACTTTACCAGAACTGCTTGCAGTTCTGGTAAAGTCTCTATGGACAAGAAGTTAAAATTACTGACTAAATGGAATCTGAGGATTTTCGTTGTCTAGCCTCCTATAGCCAAGTTGAAATAGGGCCAACTTTACACCTACAATGTTTGGGTTTTCTAATTTGAAAGGTGCTGTGAGTCTCCTAAGAGCTCTGGTGATCCAGTGGTTAAGGCATTTGGCTGCTAATCAAAAGACTGGTGGTTCAAACCCACTAGCTACTCCACAGGAGAAAGATGAGACAGACTGCCTCTTAAAAATTTACAACCTTGGAAACCCTATGGAGCATTTCTACTCTGTCCTGAGGATTGCTATGATTTGGAATTGACTGGATGGCAGTGGGTTTGTTTTTTAGGCCAGTCCCTGCATTGATACCTTCAAAATGGCAGTACAGGTATGCATTGTTTAATGTCCACTGTACATTCTATGAAATATGACATATGTTATTTGACATTGTACAAACATCATATTATATACGGGCAGTTCCATAGGATCTGAAGTTAAATCCCCATAAAATCTATTATATGAAAACCTTGTGGTGGGTGGGAGGGTAGGGGAGAGAACACTGGTAGATAGATAGAGACAAGTATTGATTTTGGTGAAGGGAAAGGCAATGTACCAAATGTGAGTGATCAACCCGGTGGCATTGAGGAAGAGGAAGGCATAGAAAGGTACATGGGAAGTACAGACAACAAAGATGAACCCTTTTGCATGTACAGTACTGCATTGTCAGTGATGGCAAGCATTGATCTATAGGTGGATAGATGAGTGGACAGGCTGAACGATCAGGTAGGTCTAGGTGGGGGGAGTGTGCCCATGGCCATGTATAGGGTTGGCAGACGATGTTTTACAAGCATATTTGTATGTGCTGTAAGAATGTCTGGGTGGATAGTAGAGCTGACAAGAGACAAGGTTGTGGTGACTTCTTGGCGATAGCCAGCTATCCTGAGGGAGTGAGTAGTTGGACCTGTGGGCTTGAGACCGTGGTCACAGGGGACATCAAACTCAATTAGCATGACATACTACACAAAAACATTGTTCTACATCCTACTTTTGTGAGTAGCGACTGGGATCTTAAAAGCTTGCAAGCAGCCATCTAGATGCAATGGTGGGTCTCTCCTCATCCAGAGCAAAGAAAAATGAAGAAAAACAAAGATGCATGGAAACAATTAGTCCAAGGGACTGGTAAACCATGCAGCCCTCAGCTTATATGACCATGAGACCAGAAGAACTAGATGGTGCCCAGCTACCACTGTCAACCACTTGGAGGGGGATCAGTGCAGGAAATAATGGATAGAGTAGGAGAACAATGTGGAAGTGAACTCAAAATCATTAAAAAAAAAAAAGACCACATTTGCTGATCTGATAGAGCTTGGTGAGACCCCTGAGACTATGGCCCCTAGTTACCCTTCAGGTCTAGAATTGAACTCACTCCTGTGACTTCCAGCCAAACAATAGATAGGCATATGGGGTGAACATTTACATCACGTAGATACACTCCTTGGAGCGATCAATCATGAGAGAACAGAAGGGCAGTGTTACACAGGAAGACAGCTTGGGGGGCAGGACCATGGGAGGGAAGGAAACAGGAAGAGGTAACTATGGGGAGAAAGTGGGAAGAGAACTGTTGCACTGTGGGGAATTGCAGTCCATGTCATGAGACAAAATGTGTATGAACTGCTGCATGGAAAATGAATTTGCTCTGTAAACTTTCACCCAAATCACAATGTTGTTGTTATGTGCCGTCGAGTCGGACCCGACTCATGGTGACCCCTCCTTAGGTTTCTGAGGCAGTATCCCTATGGAAGTAGATTGCCCAACCTTCCTTCTGAGGAGTGGCTGGTAGGTTTGAACTGCCAGCCTTCTGGTTAGCAGCCAAG